AATTCACTGTTCCACCAAATTTTCAGTTAACAGCCAAGTGGTTAACCAGCAGGGTACCTATCATAGCACTCGACAAACTATAGGAAGTCAACCATTTAGGGGATGAATGAATTTTGTAAGTGTCCCTTTTTAAATTTTAGAGCAGTTTTAGAATTACAGCGAAACCGTACATAAAGCAGGATTCCTGTTTACCCAGTCTTTACTGCATACAGTTTCTCTTATACAGTTTCTTGCCTTCCTGTTGTTCTTTTGTTACAACTGATGTGCTTTCATTGATACATTGCTGTTAACTAAAGTCCTAGGGTTCTTTGTGTTGCACAATTCCACTGACTTCAACAAATGCATAAATAATGCCTGTGTAATACAAAATATTTGACTGCTGTAAAAATGCCCTGTGTGCCACCTCTTACCTGCCGTTTCCCCTTGGCTCCCTGGCAACCACTGATCTTTTTGCTGTCGCTCTAGTTTTACCATTTCCAGAATGTCATATGGTTGGAATCATAGTTATGTAACTTTCTTCAGACTGACTTCTTTGACTTACTATGCATTTAAGATTCCTCCGAGTCTTTTTCTGTGGTTTGATAAGTCTTTTCTTTTAATCACTGAATAATACTGCATTATATGAATGTACTACAGTTTGCTTATCCATTCACCTACCTATTGAAGGACAGTTTGATTGCTTCTAATTTGGAGTAATTATGAATAAAACTGCTATAAACATATGTTCGCAGGTTTTTATGTGGGCATACATTTTCATCTCACTTAGAGCTCAATTGCTGGATCTAATGGTAAACGTATATGTAGCAGTGTAAGGAACTGACAGACTGTCTCCCAAAATGCCTGAACTAGCAGTAAAGGAGCATTCCTATGGCTCCACATCCACACCAACATTTGGTGGTGTTGGCGTTGTGGATGTCAGCCATTTTAATAGGAATGCAAGACTCTTGATGTGGCACTGTAGGATCAACACGGGACTACCAGCTGTTCCTCAGAAACCCTATACAGGGTCACAATGAGTCAGAACCAACTCAGCGGCACTTAACAACAAAGTATTATCTCATTGTTGAGATTGGCAATTTTCTAATGACATAAGATGCGGAGCATGTTTTCATCTGATTATTTACCACCTGTATATCTTCTTTTGGTGGAATTCTTTTCAGACATTTTGCCCATTTTATGTTATTGGGTGTTTGTTTTCTTATTACTGAATTTTACAAGTTCTTTGTATTTCTTGGATAAAAGTTCTCTATCAGGTATGTATTCTGCAAATACTTTCCTCCCAGTCTGTGGCTTGTCTTTTCATTGTCTTAACAATAGCTTTCATAGAGCAGAAATATTTTTGTTTTAATGAAGTCCAACTTATCCTTTTTAGAGTTTTTAATGGATTGTTTTTTAATGTTGCATATAAAAGTTCATCACCAAACCCAAGATGAGCTAAATTTTCACCTATGTTTACTACTAGAAGTTGTATAGTGTTTAATCTTACATATAAGTCTATGATCCATTTTGAGTAAATTTCTGTGAAAGTTGTATGAATGAATGTTTTATGCATTTTTTCAGTAGATATTTCCTGTTATGGAGAAGCTTTGATTTTATGCATTTATTTTGCATCTCACCACATTATTGAATTATCTTATTAGTGCCAAGTTTTTCTGTTACGATCCTTGGGGATTTAGGAGCTCTGGTAGCATAGTGGTTACAAATCAGGCTGTGAACCTTAAGGTCAGCGGTTTGAAACTACCAGCTGTTCCACAGGAGAAAGATGAGGCTTTCTGCTCCCATAAAGATTTATAGCCTCGGAAACCTGTACAGGATCCCTATGAGTCGGAACCGACTCCACAACACATAACAACAACAACAACATATTTGGGGATTTGGAATATGTAACTGTGTCTCGTGGAAATATTAATTTTGCCATTTCCTTTCCCTAAATTGTATATTTTATTTCTGTTTCCTGCCTTATCACTTTAGCAACATGTTTCTTTTAAAAGATAGTGTGACTAGTGAAAATTGTGTGGCTCTGGAAAGATTGCTTGGGGCACAAAGGGACTGAAGGCAGGGTCAATAGGTAAGAAACTGCAACAGTTATTGAAATGTGATATGATAATGACCTGGGCAGGATGTTCCTCTGAGGCATGGAAAAGCAAGAGTGTAGCTGAGACTTACTCAGATAAGGATTGATAGGACTTGGTAATGAGGACAGGTCTCAAAAAATAAAAACATAACACTCCAACTTGAATCATTGTGTTCTAATTCACTGGCTCCTAGAGAACTTAATCCCATCCACTGAGAAAAAAAACTGTTTTTCCGTTACTATTGCGTCATTTCTGATTCTTTCATGGCAACCACATACATGTCAGAGGAGAACTGTGCTCCATAGGTTTTCAGTAACTGAGTTTTTAGAAGTAGATTGCTATATCCTTCTCCCAAGATGCCTCTGATTGGACTTAAACCTTCAGCTTGTCAGTTAGCAGTTAAATCCATTAACTATTGTGTCATTCAGGCACTCTTAACTAAAAGTATGTTGTTGTTGTTGTTGTAAAGTGCCGTTAAGCTGATTCCGACTCATAGTGACCTTGTATAGGGTCTCCAAGGAGTGGCTGGTGAGTTTGAACTGCCGATCTTGTGGTTCAAACCAACCTTGTAGTCCAGTGCTTATTCTAAAGCGCCACACCAGGAAATTCACAGTTTGAAAAAACAATGGTGGGGAGGGGATTGATAGTCAACTGTATATTTTGTCAAGTGTAGCTCTTTTATGTAACTATGGCATTTAGGAGTAACACCACCAAATACCCTCACTGTCATTTTTAAGAACCAAACAACTAGAGAAGTTATAACCTGAGAATGAATTTAGCTTTATTAAAGAGAGAAAGGAAAGTAAAATTCATTAGAATTGTCATTTCAGAAACAATTCTAAGAATATGAATTCAAGAAAAGAAAAAATACAGCTATATCACTGTTTTTGACAATCAGGCTACATCCAAAAAGGATCATGAACATTTTTTTCTAGTTTTCATAGTACCTTACATATGTGGTCTCACTCAGGTCTCCTAACAGCATCCTACAGTGGAATGTTGTCTCTCCAACATGTCACTTTACATTTGACACCCCATCAAGCCCAGTCCTCCTGCATTTGATTTACCCCGAAGAGCTGTTATACACATGCATTGTTTGCATATAACACCATCCCTGTGCAGTTTACCTGGAGAAGTGTACATCCATAAAACCCTATTCAGGCAGTGAATGGCTTCCAGTCTCCGCCAAGTTGGGGGAAGAAGTGAGGGTCTGTCCATGAGCAGCATGTGGTCATCTCAAGGGGACAATCTGGCCCTTGTCAGAAGTCTGGTATGTGACACGGAGACACACACACACCCATCCCTCTCAGTCACCACGTCTCTTAGTATTAATTCCATCCTCTGTACAACCTCAGAGGCTTTATTATCAATGACAGATAGTTAGGGCATGTCTGCTATATACCAGTCCTGCCAGTACCTGGTCCCTTACAGCAGCTCACCTTCAGAACACCTGGACTCATGAAAGGGGCAGGCTCAGTGCTTATATTTTTACTGCAATTACTATCAACTAATGGTAAGGCATAATGGTAATGTCCACCCCCTCGAGACTTTTTTCTTTTAAGAAGTCCATTTTTCTCTTAGACTTGGTTTGGGGGCATTTCATGAATACACAGTGCCAGCCTCTAGAGGAAGGAGCCTTTCTTCTTGAATTTCAAGAAAACTGGCAGATTTCAAGCTGCTGCAGTGGAAGTGGGAGTCCTGGTGTGGCACTGTAGGTTAATACACTGGACTGCAAAGTCAGTTTAAACCAGAAGGTTAGCAGTTCAAGCTCACCAGTCATTCCTCAGAAACCGTATACCTGATTGCTATGCACTAGAATTGACTCCGATGGTACTTAACAACAACATAGTGGGAAACCGTATACAGGGTTTCTATGCGTTAGAATTGACTCGATGGTACTTAACCACATAGTGAGAATGAGGTCACTGAGAAGCCAGATACCTTCATAAAGACGACAGCCATTCTTTTGTAATCAGGATGCAGAAGTTCTGGAATTTGATCTAGAGAAATGGAAAAGCTGGCACATCAATGAAGAAATATGAAACAGTGGGCAACAAAGCTAGACAAGCAAGGGGGTACTTTGTGTTTTTCACTGTATTTATCCAAATTCTCCTCAGCATAATACTGTTTTAAAATAGCTCTCCTTTTCTTCTAGGAACTCATTGAAAAACAGAAACTCACACATCACTCCTTTTATCCAAAACCAAACCAAACCCATTGCTGACAGGTTGATTCTAACTCACAGAGACCCTCTAGGATAGAGTAGCACTGCCCCCATAAGGTTTTCAAAGCTGTCAATCTTTATGGGACACCCTCTGGAGGTGCAGCAGTTAAAGTGCTTCCCACTGAAAGGTCAATGGTTCAAAGCCACCAATGAGCCATGGCCAAAAATGAGGCTGTCTGCTTCTGTAAAGATCACAGCCTTGGATGCCTGGTGTGGCCATTCTGCTCCATCCTGAAGGGCACTATGAGTTGGAATTAACTCAGTGACAGTGGGTTTGACTTTAGCTAATCTTTATGGAAGTAAGTTATCACATCTTTCTCCTATGGAATGACTGCTGGGTTCAAATATTTCCATTATTAGCCCAGCACTTAACCACTGTGCTTTCAGGGCTCCTAGTTCCTTTTGTAGTGTAAATTGTTACTTACAAAGTCAGGCTCAAACTGCATGCGTGTGTCAGCTCCTATTTTGTGATCCAGTATCACTTGACATCTTTATCCCAGACATTTTACAATATCATCTGTAAAATGTACAAGTCTGAACACTGATTCACTTGTCATTTCCATTTTACAGATGAGAAAAGCAAGGCTCAGAAAAGTCGGGTAGCTTTCCCAGAGCCGCTGGTTATCAGAGCCCCACAGGAATGGGTGAGATTCTGGGCCCAGCTCTGACTTCCTCCTCTGCCCATCTCCCTATCTCCACAGCCTCCATGTACTCGGAGATCCAGAGGGAGCGGGCAGACATCGGTGGCCTGATGGCTCGGCCGGAGTACAGAGAGTGGAATCCAGAGCTCATCAAACCCAAGAAGCTCCTGAACCCAGTGAAGGCCTCCCGGAGCCACCAGGAGCTGCACCGAGAGCTGCTTATGAACCACAGAAGGTGGGGGCCTGTCAGTCATCCTGGGGCCCCTGGAGGCTGAGGAGGGGGGCCTGCCTGGAGGTCCAGTCCCTGGTGGAATCTTAGGAACTGGAGGGCCCCAGAAAGCCACACACAGCCACCGACTTCATGCTTCATTCACATAGGTTTCCTGAGCACCTGTTAGGCGCTGTGCTCAGATCTGGGCATACAAGAAGGAATGGAAGCCAGCGTCTGTCCTCACAGGGTGGGGGGGATGCATAACAAAGTGCTATGACTGCTGCTTTGATGGAATAGAAACGGGAATGTGACTCCTAAGGAGGTACCTAGGAGGTGAGGGCCAACGTGGTGCCTGGGCTAAGGCCAGTAGAGTGAGCAGGAGTCACCCAAGTGAGGACGTGGCAGGGGATGGCAGAGGGAAGCATGCTTTTGGAAAACGGAATAATGTGAACAAACGGACAAGACACATAGTTCAGTATGGCCCAGGTGTCGATTGTAAGTTGTGGCCAAGAGAGATGTGTGAACTCTGAAAGGCACATGGTCTGGCTGGCCAGGGCTTCAGAAAGACCCCTCTGGCCTGCGGCGGGGGAGAGGAGGGAGGCGATGGTGCAATATTAGAGGGACATGAGTGGAAAGGGGAGACCCGCAATGGTGGTGATTCCTCCAGAGTAGTACACTGCGTGAGATGGACTCCAGGTCCATAAAGGTGGTGGCAGAGAGAGAACTTCATAGCTGTCAGAATGTTTAGTGGGAGAGAAAGTAGCTGGACTTTCTCGCTGATCCCCATTTGCTTGCAAATGCTAACATGCGCTTTCGCAGCTCCCTCTGCTGGCCATCTCTGGTATTGACTCTTGTTTTTCGTTTATTTCAACTATGTGTGACGACCTTCCAGCAGAAACTTTTTATATTTTGTTTTTGTTTTTCCTTTCTTCTTAGTATTGTTTCATGATAATTGTTTCTGGTTTTCTTTTATAGTTACCCCTTCTAATGTCAAAAACCACCACCATAATAGAAAACAAAAACCTAAAAAGCCAGGGAAAATAGTTCCAATATAAAAAACAGCTACAAATTAATATATATATAGATCCCTTACAAATTTGTTGTTGTTGTTGTTGTTGTTAAGTACCGTGGAGTCGGTACCGACTCCTAGTAACCCTGCACAGGGTTTCTGAGGCTTAAAATCTTTACGGGAGCAGAAAGCCTTATTTTTCTCCTGCGAAACAGCTGGTAGTTTCGAACTTCCAACCTTGAGGTTAGCAGCCTGATCCCTTACAAGTACATACTAAAAAAGGCTAGGCATAGTTAGTTCACAAAAGAGGAGCTACAAATGGCTAATAATTTCTGTGTCAAAGGCTGTTGCTTGAGACTAATAATCAAACACAAATGAAAATCAGAATATGATTTCTGGCTTACCAGACCCTCAAGTCTATAAAAATTGGCTGGTGGCAGTTGTTGTTGTCAGGTGCCATCAAGTTGGTACCGACTCATAGTGACCCTATGCACAACAGAACGAAACACTGCCCGATCCTGGGCCAACCTTGCAATTGTTACCACGCTTGAGCCCATTGATGCTGCCACTTGGCCAATCCATTGAACAGAAGTATTGATTGGCTAACCTTTCTAGGGGGCAGATGGAAATATGTAGGCAACATCTTTTAAAGGAACTGTTCCAACAATTCCACTTCTATAAGCTTATCCTTAGAAAATCACCAGAAACAACATAAAACCTAGTGTCTGCAGTCAGAGAGGCCCAGGTTTGAATCCTCATTCAGCACCTTCAGTAGCTGTGATTTGCACTCGTGCCTTTAACCTTAGAATCCTCTCCCTTCTCTTGAAATAGGCAGGGCTGCTGGGAGAGTTACATCCATCGGTAATGTAGGTTGGTGTCACTGCTATCAGCCCTGAGACGTGGGGGATGGGGTGTGGGGAGGGAGGTAAGGGCATCTCCTGACAGTTCTCTCCACCCCAGAGGCCTTGGTGTGGATAGCAAACCAGAGCTACAGCGTGTGCTGGAGCATCGCCGGCGGAACCAGCTTATGAAGAAGAAGAAGGAAGAGCTGGAAGCCAAACGGCTCCAGTGTCCCTTTGAGCAGGAGCTGCTAAGACGGCAGCAGAGGCTGACCCAGGTGAGTGTGGAGTGGCCAGCCCCAGCCCCAGCCTCCTCCAAGGCCAGCCAGCTGCCTCCTGGCCCAAGGAGGAACTCTGTATCGGGCCACAGCTGAAGAAAGGGAGGAAGTTGATCATAAAGAGTACTGGACCACTGTCCCAAGTTTCACTCTGCTACACACTTTGCTGTGTAGTTTTGGGCCAGTGGCTTCCTCTCTCTAAATCTGTTTCTCATCAGCCCAATGTACTGTACACTGATTCTGAGGTCATTCACACACACACACACACACACACACACAACCCTGAGAATCAGGCAGTCTTCATTTTCTAGAAACTGGAGAGCTGAGCCCCAGCAAAATATGTGGTTTGAACTAGGCTTGCAGGAGAAAGAGGAGGCATTGTGCTTCTGTAAAGATTTTACAGCCTTGAAAACCCTGTGGGGCAGCTCTGCTCTGTCCTATGGGGTCGCTGTGAGTCAGAATTGACTCAACAGCAGAATTTTTTTTTTTTAATTTTAAAAGAACTTGGTCATGTTCTGTGGGCTGGGAGCAAAATCTATATTTGGCTATATTTCCCACTGAGAGAAGAACCCTTTGTCCAAACTCGGTGGCTTTTGGGAATAGGAAACGCTCTTAGTACCACCTACTCTGAACTTTTGTTTCTTTCCTCTTTAGTTGGAAAAACAGCCGGAAAAGGAAGAAGATCACGCCCCTGAGTTTATTAAAGTCAGGGAAAACCTGCGGAGAATCGCCAAGCTGACAAGTGAAGAGAGAGTGCTGTAGCGCTGGCTGTAGGGGCTCCCACACCCACCTCCAGCCCTTCTGTACTGGCACTCCTGCTGGAGACATGCATGATGTTCATGCTTGCTCCCATAGAAATGCGTCATCCATAGGGCCTGACCCTCATAAGCTTTCTTTCTCAGCACCCACCCCTCCTGCTCCAAGGAAGCTACTGCCAGGAAAGCTTTCACCACCTCTGTCTCTCCCTGAAGGGAATTCTGAGCCCTCCAGAGATCTCTTTTTTGACTGAGTCACCCAGTTGCTCGGTCCTTCCCAACAGGAGCTTCCCAGGCCCCTTGTGGCTCAGCGTCTCTGAGCTCTCAGAGAACTTCTCTGCAGGTTTTACCTGCTGCCAGGTGTGAAGCAGCCAAACGGAACAACTCAGAGGGGAAAGCCACAGAGGGGAGGAAAGTTCAGGTGGCATGTGTGTGAGGAGGCGAAGGCAGGGCAGCCTTCAGGTGCGCCTTGTGGTTCACACTGCGGCTGGCAGGGTTGGATAAACACTTGAACGACTGCTCTTTAGGATTTTCCAGATTTGGCCCCACCTGTGTTCTTACTGTCTCCTCCCTGAAGCCTCCCTGTTCAGACGTTCCAACTACAGCTGGTCAAAGCTGCAGCATTCCTGCTCCTAGAAACCTAGAATGGTGGTGGTGGTTATGTGCCGTGGAGTCGGTTCCGACTCATAGCAACCCTGTATAGGGTTTCCAAGGCTGTAAGTCTTTATGGGAGCAGAAAGCCTCACCTTTCTCCTGCAAAACAGCTGGTGGTTTCAAGCTGCTGACCTTGAGGTAAAAAGCTTGACTCAAACCTCTATGCTACCAAAGCTCCTTAGAAATCTAGAATAGTGCGCTTCAAACTTTATTGTACACACGAAACACCTGGGGCTCTTCTAACTGCCGTTTGGGTTCAGTAGATCTAGGTGGGGACTGGCTCGGTATGTCTAACAAGCTCCCAGGTGATGCTGTGCCTGCTGGTTTGGAGAGCGTATACTCTGAGCAGCAAGGCTAGAGTGCCCAGTGGTGATAACTATTAGAAATTGCATCCCTGCCCCTACAAAACCTAGGGACCTCTGTGCTGGGGGTTCCCACCCCCATATATACCTAGTTCTCATCCTGTCTCTGTAGCTCCCAGGACTCTAGACATGGCAAGACTTTTGTCTAGCAAATTGCTTTGGCGATGTGATTGTGTTTTCCCCAGAGACTTGTATATCATTGCCAGTCTGTACTTCTTACTGGGTTGCCCACACTGCTGTGATACAATTCTAGCCAAACAAGAAAAACGAATTTTTTGAGATCTATTCCCAGAGCCTCATGAAGAGTCAAACTACAATGATTTCTAACAGGCTTTAGAAATATCAACAATGGCTTGAGGACCCTATTGCCACCTTTATGAACAAACCCCTTTAGACCCTCATTCCCAGTCTCTGCCACCTCAGATCCCCCGTCTCCTTGGTTTCTAGCTTCCAGGGCAGCTCCACTGAATTTATCTAGTCTTCTTCCTCAAAATTCCTTTCCCATGTGAGACCCGCTATTTGAACCCTTGGCTCCTATCCCATTTATAAAGTCTTAGAGGATAAACCCAGCCTGTTTCTTTTCCCTTGAAGAATTAAATCCCTGCTCCTGGTTTTATAAACCAGCCATTTAGAGGGTAGAGGAGCCACACTGAAAAAATATTTCTTTTCACCTCCCCAAAGTACCAGAATGAGTCACCATTGGGTTGCTGCATCGTTCTTGGAAGTGGAGGGGGGCCTAAGGGAGAAAAACGGGTCACCTAGGTGGCTGGAGGGTAACCAGAGACATTGTCCTTTTCCTATGTGCGGTGCCAGAATAGGAGTGTAAATGCAGTCATGCTACCTATGTGTGTGTGTGAGTCAAGCTCTAAAAGGGAACTGAATGTGACCATCCTGTTGAAATCGTGATGATACTGTTTTAAATGTCAGCCAGGGAAAGGTAGGGCAAAAGACGCATGATTTCAAAGTAAAGATCACCACTCCCCTGAAGAAGTTAGCCACAGGGGCCTATGTGTTGTGCAAACATGTGAAGAGAAGCAAGACTGAGTGTCCAGGATAGGATAGGACCCTGTCAGCTATACTTGGGATCTCACTCGGGGTTCCCACAAGTACTCATGGAGACAGCACACATGAAGTCTGTGAAGGTGGAGGGGAAGACCCTGAATTGGAAGGGACGTCGAGCTCCACGTTGTCCAGGGAAGCAATGGCAGGCACCCTCAGTTCACTCTCTAACGGTCAACTCCAATTGCTTCTCTCTTACTGCCTTCCACCGCACAGGCTGAAAATCCAGATTCTCACTTTCCCAGCCACCTTTGCACTTGGGATGGCCATATGACCAAAATATGGCCAATGACAAGAGGCAGTTTACAGGTGTTTCTGGGAAAACTTATGCTTTTCTGATAAAAGGGACCAATACGACCAACACTTTTCTGTCCCTCCTTTTTGTTTTCGCTAAGGCAGTGATGCCTAGAGTCACAGCAACCAAATTGCTACCATAAGAAAAAGGCCAAGAGAATCACAGAGATAGATGTCAGCTGAGCTGCCAAACCAATGCCAGCATCCACCCTCCTCCACAACTCTTATAACTACGAATAAATCTCTCCTGGTTTACAACATTGTTGGTTAGGTTTCTGTTATCTGCATCCAAATGCATTTCCATCTAATATTGAAGGCCAGCCCTACCTGCCCATCAGAAACCCGGGTATCAGGAGCCCCACCTAGCAGTGGTGCAGCACTTGTATTTGGGAATCACTAATTCATTCATGGTGTCCTGGTGTGGCTCTGTTGGATAAGCACTGGACTGATAACCAAAAGGTCAACATCTCTCCTCAGAAACCTATGCAGGGTCGCTATCGGTTGGAACTGACTGGAACGCACACAACAGTTCATTCATAATTTCACATGTACAGGTACTGGGACAAAGTGAGAACAAAACAGATAAAAGTCCCTGTCCTCTCATCTGGACCCTTGTAATGGTCTCCTCCTAACTGATCCCTTGCTCTGCCCTTGTCCCCCTACCACCGGTTCTCTGCAGAGTGGCCCAACTGATCCTGTTGAAACCTTGTCACTCCTCTACACAGAGTCCTCATCTCACAGTAAAAACCAAAGTCCTCCAGCAACCTGGAAGGTCCAGGGTGGCCAGCTCCTGGTTAACCTCTGACCTACTTCCAACCACAGTCTCCCCTTGCCCCTGTTACCCAGGCTGACCTCACTCTCACCAGACATGCCCCACCTCTGTGCCTTTTCACCTGTGATCCCATGTCTGGGCATGTTCTTCCTACACAGAGCCACTCAGTCCTTCCCCTCACTTTCTGCAGGTTGTTCTTTATGATCCTTTCAAAGCAGACCTCTTTTTGCCTTTGTGTCTGAAAATCTCAACATTCCCTATGTACTTCCTATCCCTCCTTTCTCTGCACTATTTTCTACCTGATCATTTATCACCATCTAATACAAGGGGATTTGAAAAAGTTTGTGGAAAATTTTTATTATCTTTTCATTATGTTTTCACATAAAATTTTCAAAACAACCCCTCGTATATGTGGGACATTGTTGGTTCCATGGTAAAATTTTTATCTTCCTGCAAGAGACCAAAGCTTAGTTCTCGGTCTGTGTGCCTTATTCACAGCTACCACTCATCTGTCATTAGAAGCTTGCATGTTGCTATGATTCTGAATAGGGTTCAACAGACTATGATGCGCTAGGAAGAAAGACCTAGAAGTCTATTTCCCAAACTCAGCCTATGGAAACCCCATAGATCACAACAGCTGTGTATGGGGCTGTCATGAGTTGGGGTGCTGATTCAACAGCAGCTGATAGAAACAAGCATATGTTTAACTCATTGAGCTTAACCATTGCTCCCAACTCGAATGTAAGTAACATGAAGGCAAAACTGTTTAGCTTGTTTCCTGCTGAATCCCCAGTGCCTAGCGCAGTGTGTCACACAGAATATGTGCTTAATAAATGTTTGTTGAATGAAAGAATGAGAACCCCTCCTGCTTCCACATATCCCAAGGCAGTGCACCGAGTCTCCTCCCAGATTCAGCACTTCCCATCATCATGTTGTTGTTATGTGCCGTGGAGTCGGTTCCTACTCATAACGACCCTGTACAGGGTTTCCAAGGCTGTAAATCTTTATGGGAGCAGAAAGCCTCATCTTTCTCCCACAGAGCAGCTGGTTGTTTTGAACTGCTGACCATGAGATTAGCAACCCAATTTGTAACCACTATGCTACCAGAGCTCCTTCCCATCATCATAGCAACTAGAAAATGTACCCACCTGCCACTGCAACTTGGCCCTGACCCAGAGACATCAGTTGGGCCCTTCTAGGCTCTTAGACACTCAGCTGTACCAGAGTCTGATTAACATTTGTTCTTCCAGAACCCGCACTGGAGCTGTGCGGTCCTACACTCCATGAGGATGTTCAGAGACTAAGATCCTCACGGAAGGGTCCCTGCATCAGTTCTGATGTCAGACCCACACTAACTGAGAAGCTAAGAGCAGCCCCCTGCTTCTGGCTGAGGCCACACTTTCACACCTACCAGACCATGTTGGAGATCATCTTCTTTGATGACAGACCCAGCACTGAATACAAAGCTGGGGGAGAGAGTACAGCCCCTAAGTAGTCAAGGGCCTGTCCTCTCCATTTCTTGGATTCAGAGCTGTTATTAAGGCAGCCTCACCAGGCTGCAAACCACACTGACACCAAGCCCAGGAGGGCCAACAGCCTGCCTGATTCTGCTCACTGTAGCTCTCCAGCCCCAACCCAGGGCCCTGCACAAAGGAGGTGTACAAAAACTCGTGAATGGACTTATGGAAAACCGAAAGTTTGTCATCAGCAATAACAACCAGATATCATTCTCTGCATCTTGCAGATGATGAAAATAAGGCTCAGGTAAGTTAAGACATTTGCCAGATGTCACAAAGCAATGCTCAGGGAAAGGTGAGATTCACACCCAGGACTGTCTCTGCAAAGTTTGTGTTCTTGCTCCA